GATTAGGATTATACGATTACGTTGTTGTCGTTGATTGGCCAACGTATTTTAAAAGGATTCTCAGCGTACCTATATATTTTGTATGGCTCGCTGATCTGAAAAGCTTTCCTGAAATAATTGTATGTTTCGTCTTTTTGAGTGACGGACATCAATGTATATCCATTCATCCATAATATTGTAGTTATTAGCTTCGCTTTCCCCAATTCTATCCGAGGTGTTCGGTGGTAAAATGATTGAGAAAATCTGCAAATTTTGAAGGTACAATCTGGCCAAAACGTCAAAGAAATTACGCCTGTTGAGTGTCTTTCTTTTCTAGAAGACAGCAGACAGCACCTAAGTAAATTATGTGTACACATTTTTCAGATTGTGTTCAATTGAGTGAGTCATCGGCTTAGTGAAAACTCGCCGCCCGTAGCGGTAGAAGACTCATAAATCGTGCCAAATTATATGAATTGTTAATGAGGCAGTGATCAGTGCACGCAGCGGCCCGGAGCGATGCCAGCGTATTCTGCTGGAAATGGGTACTTCTAGACACCGTCCTCCTAGTTTGATATTAGCACAGCAAATATCCTAGGGATATTAATTCTGTAATGGTAGTTTAGACGTATACGACAAAATCCCCTTAAAAGTCAGCCAAACAAAAAACCTGTGATTGGAATTACAACAATAAGTCTGACCATTTGATTCTCGTCAATTTGTATTATTTGGATATTGGACACTGTGTTTTGTCACACAAGGTGATCTGATTGATTGTATATTCTGGGAACTTGTCCTGACACAAACAACCTCAGGTAAGGAAACGTTAATGTAACATTAACGAAAATAAATCTAAAATTAAAGCTAATTATTTTGTTAGGCCTACTTGTGGTATTGGCATGGTGGTTAATGTGAAAAATAATCGATCAAACCGTATTTCTAAGTATAATTGGAATTTAAATTCTAAATATAACTTGTGATGAGTTATCGGTGCGCATGCAATCACATGTTGGACTGCTGCCCGTTGGAAAACTACTTAGTGTTAGTGCTAGTGTATTTCCGGCAACAGATGCAACTGGGTGCTGATGTACTGATGCAGAATACAGCGCGGATGCGTCGCTATGTCACATTGTGATGGTCGTAGCCTACCTCACTACACCTTGCGTTGTGACATGTGATGTAACTACGTATTGATGCAACTGGGTGCTGATGCACTGAAGCAGACAGAATACAGCGTGAGAGTGCCGCTATGTTACATTTTGACGTAGCCTACCTCACTACACCTTGCGTTGTGATATGTGATGTAACTACGTATTGATGCAACTGGGTGCTGATGTACTGAAGCAGAATACAGCGTGGGAGTGTCGCTATGTTGCATTGTGATGGTCGTAGCCTACCTCACTACACCTTGCGTTGTGACATGTGATGTAACTACGTATTCATGCAATTGGGTGCTGATGTACTGATGCAGAATACAGCGTGGGAGTGTCGCTATGTTGCATTGTGATGGTCGTAGCCTACCTCACTACACCTTGCGTTGTGACATGTGATGTAACTACGTATTGATGCAACTGGGTGCTGATGTACTGATGCAGAATACAGCGTGGGTGCGTCACCATGTCACATTGTGATGGTCGTAGCCTACCTCACTACACCTTGCGTTGTGACATGTGATGTAACTAAGTTTACTGCACCTGTTCAAGGTTTCCTACCACTATGCACCTCGCGTCGATATATGCGAAATCATTCTTCCCGTTGATATTTTATTCTTGAAGTATTTCCAAATCTTTTAACCACGATGCGTAAACAGACTTGTTTCTCTGCATTCCGTGCTACATTGCCGCATATGATGATCGATTAGTTGTATTACATTCCTGGCTCTGAGTAATATCTGAGTATCACTATTTGACCACGTGATCTGGGATCCTTGTAAGTGCATTAGCGCCGTTGTGCAACCTGTAAACTGTAAACGCCAGCTTGTTAGTGGCTGTCACGTTAGTATACTCGGGCGTTTCAGCTGGTCATCTGAGTAAAAATTGTCAAATGTAATGCACAGAAGAGACTGTCGTGTAAGTCCTTTATTGAGCCAAATTACCAAAACTTTGAATTATCTACGTCTTACTAACTATCAAAGTATTTAAGTATTTACATGAACTAAAAAAAAACATCAATCAATGACATCAAAACTATAAGCAACTACTGTACTAAGCTGTCCGGGGAGCGAGCTGGTGTAGTGGCTAGAGCGCGGGACTTCGGTCCGTGAGGTCCCGGGTTCGATCCCCGCCAAGTCACCAATGGATTTTATCTAAGTGATAATGCCGCACCCCCTAGGTCTAGCCTGAAGTAATGTGAAAAACAATCCCAGGCTCGTGCCTAGCGTCCTAGGACAAAAAAAAAAACTGTACTAAGCTGTACTGTTGCTAATGACTGTATTCACATTACCAGTTCGAAGACAAAGAATACACGAAAAATACAGGTTTTATCCAGTTTCATCGCATAAACTGCTTATGTCCATAAATTAAGATATAGGATAGTTTAACAAATGTTCTTGTTCATATTTTTCCTTACGATTTTTTATAGTATGTGTATTTCCCACCATGAGTTTTTTCTTGTTAAATTTTTTACCTAACCTTGGTAGAGTTCAGCCAAATTCATAGTTTCAAACTTAAAAATACCATTTTGTTTGTCAAGTACAAAATGGACATTCTCCTTACGATGATACAACATGGCTGTGCTGTAAGGCCCTCGAGGGGGATTTTATCATAACTACAGATTGCGTTGTCCTATGTACATGTCCCGGTGCAGCTATTGTTTTATTTTTGAAAATTTCGAGTTTTATAAATTCAATCGCTTCAAAAAGATTGCCATAACACTTCAGTTATTTTTATTTTTAATAGGCATAGATGTTAGTTCAATCATAAATGTTTGGTCTTAAATTTTAAGTAATGTTGTATAGTTAAATTAAATACAATTATTTGCAAATTGGTGTTATTCTTATCTCCTTAAAAAATTTGTCAGGTTAGGAAGTGTTAAGGAGACCAATATTTGGTCTTTTCTGCTTCAGTTGCAGTAAAATCAAATCTAAATGGAAACAGAAACATTAAAGTTTTTAAGGAAATTGGGTCTTTACAAGCATTATTACAAATTAAAATACACCTGAGCTTTTCTTGGCCTCAGAGGATAGGAAAAAACATATTTAATAACAACTAACGATCCATTTACTACATCAGGGCTTGTTTTAAAAAAATCTGCAAATGAAAAAGCCTTTGGAAATTACCTAACCCCCTTTTGTTGTTTTTCTTTTTGCAACTTGATCGAAACTGATTTGTAACTTAGTACACAACTAGATTAAACCTATTAACTTCTGGAACTTGGTAATAGCGCTCAATTAGTGCTAGGAACTTGCAAACTAGTTGTTGCATCTACATAACAACTTAGTCATTGATTGTGAAACCATCACTTAATGACGTAGGTTCTCCTGCTTCTGGAAAAATCCTCAACAATCACACCAGCAAATATGTTATTACTTTACTGTTGGTGTTTACATACTTTCCTTGTTGGTTGCAGGTTTTTATTGTGGCAATAGAATCTTTAGTATGCAATATTTTTGTAAGCATATATTATTTAAAAATATACAGGGTGTTCAAAAAAGGTGGGGATATATTTTACCTAGTGATTCCTTGGGTCAAAATAAAGAGAAAATCAAGAATAACATTTTTCCCAAAATCGCTTTGTTAACCAGGTATCCGCCATTTTGTATTTTTTTAAACATTTTTATTTTTGAATTTTTCAACCGATCTTTATAAAACTTGGTATGTAGGTTAAGGTAGAAAATAACAATGATAGAAAAAAAATCATCTTGATTCAACTTAAAATTTCAAAATGGCGGCCAGTTTAATTTTTAACTAAAATTACTCAAAAACGGCTAATGTTTTAAAAAAATTTCAAGAACACTTTTATTTAGCATTTTTAATTCCCTATCAAACGATACCAAGTTCAAAAATATCCAATAAAAATAACTGAAATATTATTTATATTCGATCTTTTTGAACTTGGTATTGTTTGATAGGTAATTAAAAATGCTAAATAAAAGTGTTAAAAATTTTAATTGGCTGCCATTTTGAAATTTTAAGTTGAATCGAGATGAACTTTTTTTATGACACGGGTCTCGTCTACCTTAACATGCATACAAAGTTTCATAAAGATCGGTTGAAAATATTAAAAGATAAAAATGTTTATGTAAAAAATAAAAAAATTACAAATATCTGGTTAGCGAAGCGATTTTGGAAAAAATGTTATTCTTGATTTTCTCTTTATTTTGACCCAATGAAATGTCCCCACCTTTTTTGAACACCCTGTATATGTATTTTCGTGGATAACTAAAACTTAATTTACATACGTCATGTGTTATCTGTGGAATTAATATGGATATCGCCCCTTATTGGAAATAACTAAGCTTCATCTTTTTTACACAAATTATAATTGAAAATGTCCACGATTCCTTAATAATCATGAATAAATTATTAAAAATAAACTTCAGACAATGTTAGCAAATGAAAGCTTCTACTGTTATGTGTGCCTTTCCTGGATAAGACAAAAACCCACACTCAGGTTAATTTATTTTTTATTTGTATTCCTCCATTGTTTTAGTATACAAGTTTCAATTAAAATGTATGCTCGATCAGTTAAATTTTATCGTGATTAAATTTCAATATTAGTTTGGTCTAACTCTTTGGTCTTACTAAAAATAATCCTAATTCAGTGTACACTAAAAAAAAAACGACAACAAAATAAAAATCCCCACCTGGTCCAAAATAGTTATTGGCCCTTTCTATTATGAGCCTGGTAACTTGTTAATCCTCAAACATTTCCACTTTTACCGCCTTGGTCATAAAGTCTGCAATATAAACTTGTTTATACAAGCTATTCTAAGTGATTTCTAAAACGTTACATAGTAGCCTTTAGTACATAGTAGTTTTTTTTTTCTTTTGTTTACATTTTTGACCGATGCTTTGTTTGTCTAGGAGATGGACGGCATGCTCATGATTGTCAATGGAGCCGGTCGAATCATCTTCATATCCCACACTGTGGAAAAACTGCTTGGTCACACACAGGTTAGTATCCCTCAATATGTAATAGAATATTCCTTGGAAACCAGTGGGGCGGAGCCTGGGGTTCTCAATCCTGGGGCTTCAATCCAATCCTGGGATTTTGGGATTTATCTAAGTCGATCCTGGGCTTATGTTATTTTATGACTTAACTTTTTAGTAATTTTCAATTTGTGTGGAATCCTCTTGTTGAGTCCTCAAATGTTTTAAACTGGCCGTAAAAATACGCAGTTTTGCCGTCTTTCTAAGTTAAGAAACATTTTCACCCAGAACATTCGTAGGCCTAATCCTGCATTCTTATTTACAGTGTATAAATGAGTGCAGGGCCGAGTGCCAGTATCCAATGGCAATGGTATATTTGGTTTACATAAATAAAATGCCTATTAGCTAATTTCTAATATTCAAAGTCAATGGTGTAATTGATTCACATAAAGGGAACGCCTATTTGCCATTTCCAAAGTCAATGGTACATCTGGTTCACGTCAATGTGATGTCTACTTGTAGTATCCAAAGTCAATGGTATATTTGGTTCATATACCAATGGCTATTTGGAGTATCTAAAGTTCAAATACCTAAGTCAAATATCTAAGTTCGCTGGTGCATTAGGCTAATTCCGCTGACCCTAATTAGTTATTAACAAGCTGCTATACCTGTGCTTTGCAACGGGAAGAAAATGTGACCTAGAGCTATTAAAGTAGTGCTGGTGTGTGTTTTAAAATTTAGCAACTCTATGATTTAGTTTGAAAACATAAACTGATTTAGAAGCGTAAACCTACTTACTTTCAAACCCCTACTTTTGATGTTAATAGATCCATAAGAATATGACAACATACCTTAGTGTAGCAATAGCATCAATTTGCTTCATATTGATGCTTCATGAATTACATGTTTTACCATAATTCTTCAATTTAAGTCAAGCCTCTTCACATGTAGCTTACTATATAAATTAAAACATGAAACGTTGAGCAATACTTTACAAAACGTATATACAACCTCACTTTAAAACCAAACATAACCCTCCTCAATCTACATAAAGCGTCACAAACATCTTATTCGAGTAAATAAACAAACGCCAGTTCATTGTACTGACCAGCTGTTTCATTAACTAAATTAAATTAAATCATTTAAACATTGGAAGCATGCCAGGCGTAGCCCTTTGGAAATCAGCCTGTGGGGCAGAGCCCTTAGAAAATTTCTCCATATCAATACTTTTCGGCAAATCTACACACTCTAAGCTTCATTTTGATGTGCCATATGCCTATATTTTTATTTGGTAAATGACCTTAACCGTTTACATAAAATTTGATTGTATCACTTTAATAATATAATAGATTTTGTAGTAAATTATTCTCAACGAAATTAAATAATCCAATTGTTCTGAACCTTTGTTCTGTATTTGTAATGTGCTAGTTTAGATGATGCATTGAGTAATATATGTTAGGACTCTTTTGTTTAGACCTTTTTATTGTTATATTGCAAATAAGTACGATTTGTGGCGACCAAAAAACCTCTAAGGCCCATGTTAAATTTCTGTATTTTTAAATTCACCTAGAGAAAAGCCTTTTAGTCGATGTTTACCATTTCATATTTATACCTCCCCATAGTTGGTTACTATGACTGTGCTAAATTTCCTTTGATCGCTTCAGCTGTTTAGGAGGAGTATGTGGAAAACAAGAGCAGGAGTGTAGTATAAGAGCTTCGCTCACTTCATTCGCTCCACTCAAATATTTGTTTTTAGCGTTATTAGACTATTTATATTTACTTTCCATAAGTGAAACTACTCAAATGAAAAAGAAGATAAAAATAGAGGTTTTGCAATCCTGTTAATCGCAGGATTAAAATACGGTAATCACAGGATTCCTAAGTATCAAAACCCGACCGGGATTCGGGATCCCAGGAATAAGACCCTTAGGTGGAACTCTAGGAGAGTATCGAAGTTAAGTTTGTCAATCTGTGGAATATTGGCTCTATTCCTGCAAAGATTTCAGCTCAATCGCTAGTTCTAACTGAATCTCAATGTGTATACTCACAACTTTTACATTTATTCTTCCATTTTGGCTGGAATCGTCAAGAAAGTTATAAGATTATATTCTAAAATAACTAGTTTATTTCAGAATATCTGTGGAGAACATAATTGGGCTGGAAATGTACAAAGGTTGGAATTTAGGATATCAAGGGGGGGTGGGTAAGTGGTATATTCCCTCTCTGTCTTTAGTTACCAAGTACAGAGACTATATAACTTACAAGCAAGAGATATATTCTGAGAATCGCTCATATACAAGTTAACATTTAATCCTCGAGTATTTGATAGATAGTTCCTAGGAATCTGGCAAGTGTATTAAATACTTACAGCTAGTTTTAAAAACTTGTTCTGTGGGAAAAATAATTTGTCAAAAAATGTATATAGCTTCAGTCTTTAATGTATTAATGTAATTGATTTATTTATTTCATTGTGATTGACATAGTTTTGAATTGAATGCTCTAAATATTTACACACATTGTTATGTTACGTTACTGTGTTAAGTGAGGCAACCTGAAGTTATATAACAGAAAATCGTTGAGTTGTTTGCCTTGAATGCATGAAGCAAGAGAAATTACGTATAAGTTATACATATCAGATTCTCTTGAAATCACAACATAGTAATAACAAGTTTGTAGTATTGTGCTAATTAATTATGTTTTTTAGCGTAATAAGTTGTAACGTAACCATAACAATCCAAGTTCCATATCACAAGAAGTTTGAAATCATTTATACACATCTTATCACAAGATATAAACACTGGTTGTATAATAATGGTGTAGCTTCCGTGTTCTTGTTAAACATCTCTTTGAGTTCTTTGGGTAATAATTTAGTTTTCAAAACCACCAAATTTCTTTTTTTATTAGTTTTGAAATATCAACTTAGAAAATGTTTTATTAATTGATAAATATTAAACTAAAATATCCCCACCGCAGCAAACATACCGAAAGATCTTTAAAATGGCTTGGAGAGAAACTGGGAAATTTTGTGTTTTGAAGGTCAAAAATTAGGAAAACCAACATTTACCCCATAATGAATACGTGAAACCCCGTTCCCATGGTCGAATCATTCTGGTTTATTAACTCATTCAAGAAAAAGAAAAACCAAATCAGTATAAATCTAGTATTAAAAACGTAATTTAGTATTGGTATAAAAATATATATAAAAAAATTCCAAATACAAATGCATAAAAAATGGTTAAATGGTTAATGGAAAACAATGTGTTTTATTATTATTTTATCAATTGAGATGAGAACGCCACCTGACCTAGGTGTGTATTTTAACTTAAATATGAGGGAAGGATGAGTGTAGAATGGCGTGAGATGATCTGTGTAGCTTTATTACTGACTAAGATCAGCTGTTTCATCAGTCATGATCATTTATTTAAAGCCCAATGATCAGAGACAGCTGGGAACCTTCAACAAGTTATTGACTTTTCTCAGGATCAAACCGAACCTTTTGATTGTTAAGTTTAAAATGATTTTTCTATCAAAAATTAAATGGTCTACTTTATTAACAGGCAAAGTGAGCACTTTAACTACTCAAAAATAGGAGTTTGTCCATACTTCTATTATTTGGCTATTAACTTGACACTGACATGATTATAAGAGTTTTCGAATGTAACCTGTTCACCAAAATTGAAACTGTGGTTTCATTATTTTCCATTCACTAAATTTAGGTGATTTGAGGGGTAGTTCCCCCACTACATTTTGTTGCTTAATAAACTACTCCCTTTACTTGGAAGACTTAGAAATACCAAGTGAGTATAAGTTGTAAGTCGTCATTTAACTAGGAGTGGTTAGATTGTCTATGTCAATGAGATAGAGTCACAATGATCTTGTAGTGATGGTCTGCTAGTTAAGTGTCATCTGCCAACTGCCAATACACGAGGTGTCAAGTTTGATTGATCCGTTTGCCAACGGCATGTCCTACGTATTTGGCGGGACAGTTGTGCAGTTCGCTTTTTTTAACTTTTTAATTTGTTACAGTTCGCTTTCTAAGGTAGGGTTTTTTGCACTATTAAAAATCTGGTCTTGGGTAACTTGCTTGCTAACCAAACACTGGGTAAAATGAACGTACCGATTCGTGCTTGTGTAACACATCTGAGTAAAAGAGCGATTGAGTGAAACGATAGGAGAATTATTCTAGCGATCAGAATTAAGTGGCACAGTATAAGCCTATTGTAGTAATCAGTGGTGGTGTAGCCCAATAAGAGAATATTCTGGTAATCAATGAACCAGTTAGTCAGTAAATTGTTTTCTAGTGTCTCAGTGTAAGAGTATAAAGTAATTAGTGATCGATCTACACAGTAAAATGGTACTTTATTGATTGAGTGACCCAATAAGTGTATAACAGTGATTGAGTAACACTGTAAAATAATATTATAGTATTCTAGTAAAACAGTAAGGGTATTATTGTGATCAGTTATTTAAACACTCAGTATAAGAATACTTTAGTGATCGAATGACACAGTAAAATGGTACTTGAGTGATCGAGTGACCCAATAAGAGTGTTGTAGTGATGAGTAGTTATAGGATGTGTTGATAGTGTCAGATGTTCAATATCAGTCTCCATGACGACAGTTAAACTAGCTCACCAAGCACTGCAACACAATCTGCTGCAACTGCAACCTGATGCCTCTCTTCTATGTACTCTCCGCTATTTGTATCCGGTAATATCTTTTCTTCTTGGAAACCAGACAATTTTCAATACGACTTTTTTTACTTTTGTACAGGAGTAGGAAACCACTTTTTAATGTAAAGTGCCTTAAAATTATTCCTATGTCGCATGAAAGCATGTTATGAAAGTTAGGAGGGAACACTAATCCACAACACTAAAATAAATTTTTTATTTTGCCCCAATTAAAAGAAGTGTACAGATTTGTATGTATTTGATTTCTTTTAATTTTTCTCTTATGATTATTTAATAACTGATATCCATTTTAAGTGATCCAATAAGTGATCTTACAAAAATCTTCTCTAGTATCCTTACATCTTTACCAGCGTTACATTCAGTTGGTCACAGGAGAACACAGTTTTTTTTTTAAACATATTACATTTTTGATAGTGGTGGTTATTTATATTTACCAATTTCAATCACAACAATAAGACAACTTTAACTTTAAATATTTACTGTATATGCTTAAATGGAACTACATCAATAAGTTTTAATTTCAAAGGAGATAAAACCCTTAATGTTAAGTAAATGCCAGTGCAAAAATGGTGATCGTTTTACATTTAAAGCAACGTAAATTAAGTCAATAAAATCAAACTGTAAAGAGCTCACAAGTTGTCCAAGTTAAGACTAAATATACAAAAGAAGAGATAGTTGAATACTTTACCTAAAAGTGTCAAATTATATCAAGGGTGATGTCCCTAAAAAGAGAGATATACGTCCTAAATAAAATTTCTCAAAATAAACATATATACTAAATAAATGTCCAGTATTTCCACAAAGTTGATAAATACCTAATTTTAATAACATTTTACAATCAAATACAAACAGATAAACTGTTTCAGTGCTGTCTTTTTCGTCAGTTACTGTCCATCACAAAAGTAATGTCTTGATTGCAGTGTTTTTTATTCAAGTTTAAGTAACTGAATTTAATGTAAATAGTTAATGAATCACCATGAGCCAGGGCATTATTGCATTACAGTATTTGCCGTAGAGTTATTTCTGTCCACTCATGGCGATGATCGACCTACACATGAGTATCTTTGTAACAAATTATCCTAGTTCTGGACGGGAATACTTGAATCATTGTAACAATTTCCCGAATCAAGTGGTTGGGTTTATTATCCCTTGTTAGTTATGACTATTCCAAATCCACCTACGTTGTTGGATAACGCTTGATTATAGCCATGTTTATTACATTAGAGTTGTAATATATACTATATTGCAAATATTCATATACAAACATTGTGGCAGTAATATTTTTATTTAATGGTAGTTTTCTACTTCTAACTGGAAAATTTTTGTGAAGTTGGAACTTAAGTGTTATTAATATTGGCTATTGATGGAATAAGACATCCCAATACCAACATACAGGATGTATCCAAAATATAAAAAATAGAGTATTTGAATAGACTTACCAACATGGTGGCATTATCATTATTCATTGAGATAGGGACATCACCTACTAGTAGTTGTGTATTTTAACCCAAATATGAGTGAAGGATGAGTGTAGAATGAAGCTAGATGATCTGTGTAGCTCTATTACTGGATAATATCAGCTGTTTCATTAGTCAGGATAATTTATTTAAAGCCCAATTATCAGGAACAGCTGGGTCCAGTTTCGAAGCATCAAAAAGCTACTGTCTTTTCTCAGGATCGATCCGGCAAGCTTTAGATTGTTAGGCGAGCACTATAGCCACTCAGCTACCCAGCCCAAGCAACATGAATTAATTTACAGTATTGCTTTTACTGAAACTGAAATTAAAGTGTTGCCATACATTTTCATAGAAACTAATACCATTGACATCATAATATAGAGTCATTAATAATTCCCTTTCTAATGAATGAGGATTTTTTAAATACCGTTGAAAAAGATTGCCTAAGTTCTCTTAAAGAGAAAATAATACAAAAACTATAGAGTCGAGTCTAATTGAGGTGAAAGAATATCTGTAAATGCGTATTAAGACTGTGGCCCCAATGACATCTAAGTGTTAATGATCCTAAAGGAAATTGCAAGGCTTTTATTGCTCTCGGAATTAATTGGTGGCCTACATTTTATAATGATGTAGAATTGCTCAGACTCTGAAAGGCTACCTATCAAGCAAACAGCTTTTCAGAATCTTTGATGTTGTCATGCAGACATGATGATTTTATGAAACATTGTAATATGATTTATAATTGTGCCTAGTAAATTTGAGACTTTTTTGTTGTAAATATTGATATAGCCTGATTTATGTTTGTCTTTTGTGTTTGGGCAATTGATTTTTTATATAGATTTTTTCAACTTTAAAAAAGAGTTTAATGAAAGCAATACAGCAGCTGGGTGTTTTATCATATTTTTGAAATTTAGTGAAATCCCTCTGGTAGCTTAGTTACTGACCAAGACCAGCTGTTTCGTAGCTGAGCAACGATCAAGGACAGCTGGTTCCAGTTCAGAACCATCAAAAAAGCTCTATACTGTTCACAAGGAATGAACCAGTGACCTTCTGTTTATTAGTCAAACCCTATTAGTCCATTACCAATCAGGCACTAAGCTGTTTATACAGCTCTACATAATGTCTGTTATTATTAGTATGGTTTTAGTATTGCAGATGAGATTTTTCTCACCTAAAAGAAAAAAAGAATCCTTAATATCTGTCTACATAGGTTCTAAGCTAAAACCACATGTTCACAGTGTTATCACATACAACAAGTCTTTAGTGATGGCAGGATTTGAACCCAGGTCACTAGGGCTCTTAAATGCTTTAGACCTAATTCAAAATCATGCTCGGTTCTATGTAGTTGAGGAATACATTTACTGAACTGAGTCGGCCAAAATTCTTAAAATGCTCTCTCGGCTTTTACGCGCCGATTGAAATCCAAAAGAAAGTTTGGAATACTAATTCAGACCAAGTAAGGAGCGAATGAATCTGTGCGTCAGAAACCAACCTGTTTGAGTGTTTGTCTCAATCAAAGTGGTCCCCTGCTGAGCCAAGCATATCTACAATCAGCACACGTGGGTATCAGCTGCTGAAAATACCCCTAGTACAACCTTCTGTACCACTCAATTAGGTAGAGTCATCGGCGTATATAGGTAAACTTCTAAGATACGCTATTGATGTTTTTTTTTTATTAAGTTTACATTTGAGCAATTCTTTTTCCCTTCTTGATTCATTATAGAACCTGTTGCAGAAACTGTCACAATCTTGTATATCGATAAGAAAAAGTTGTCTCTTGTCTGTAAAACATTAAAATTATGTATGTTCTTTTTATGATGTTTGTGTGTAGCAATTGGCCACATTTCCAAACTTACCTATACTAATCAAATGCATCCATACCAACTGTCCAAAACTTAGTTTCAGATTATTTTGTAATACTAGTAAGTCAAAGTAAAAAGTCAGCGTAATAATTATTTTGTTTTAGCTAATCTTAAAACTGTTATGATTCTGAGTAGCTTGGATACGTTACTGTCTATTTACTGATGGAGACACTTTTAAAGCCTGAAAAGAAAATAGAAACTAAAGAATATAAGGAAATAAAGTTAAAGCCAATTTTAAAAAACCTGTACAACCAAAGTCAATTGTCCTGTAAAATGATTGGAACGTGGAAGATGGATTTAGGAATACTTAAGAACCTTGTGGCTCGGAAATGAGAGGCAATGAGCAGAGAACATGGTAGAATATAGACAGATTGTTGCAGAGAAAGATTCATTTTGGGCCATATAGCCACATGGCTGGGTAGCTGAGTGGTTATAGTGCTTGCCTGTTAATCATAAGGTTCCCAGTTCAATCCTGAGAAAAGTCAGAAGCGTTCTAAACTGGACCCAGCTGTATTTGATCATTGTGCGAAAACAAATGAAAATCAATGGTCCTGTCTAAAAACCAGCTGATCTTAGCCATTAAAAAAGTCATATCACCCATTCAACTATTATCTTTCACTCATCATCGCCTGAAAATACACACCATTGTATGTTGGGACGTACTGTACTGATCTAACCATAAATGGCAAGGGTATGTGCTGAAAGTGTAAGACTAAATTTGTTTCGGTGATTGTATTTTCTGTTTTTTTGTTACAGATTGAGTTAATGGGCCAGTCGCTGTTCAATTTGACTTGTCTGGAAGATTACGACGAGTTGAAACGCAACCTCGCTCCAGACGAAGATCAAGCCATCAGCGCTGCTACCAGTGGTGAGTGAAATGTAACTAAGTGTTTCGGCTTATTACTCCCAGTGGGGATAGCTCCTCCCATGTAAAACAGACTAACTGCGTTGTTTATTTACCGATGGAAACTAATAGTGATATGGTAAAAACTAATGTAACAGGTACCACGATGTAATACAATTGTAATTTTTGTTGTTGTTTGTATTTAACAATAATGCCAATTAGGTCAAAATCTATTTGGAATAGATTTTGTTACAAAGTGAAGTTTGTTTGCAAATAACACTGTAGGTCCTAGTCTTCTTAATATGCAAAATTAAAATACTTAGGCCAAAGCTAATTTAAATTCACAGGTTGCAATGAAATAAGAAAGTGTCAAAAATAAGATTGCATGTAAAACTAAATTTTCCAAGTATAAAAGATGCATTTTCCTTAAGAGGTGTATTAAATTGTGAATAAATTGTAAATGTTGCAAGTTTATGAAATATCAACAACTGGAACATATGTCAAAACCAGGGCTTGTTTTCTTGGAATATCAATTTAGAAGCTTGACTCTACTAGACAAGTTACAGCTCTATTAACTCAGTTATGTACAGAATTTTGATTATTAAATTTCCCCTCTTTACAGTTTACTTCACATGTTACAATGCAGTTTATCAAACACCTGTGAGCTACTTTTAATTGGAAATTATAATTGTTGGATTTTGTTTTTTATATATTTTTTGTTCAAACTATTTTTACGTTTTAAAATTTCTGTTACTCATTTTGAGTTGAAAACAATGTGTTGGTGAAAGATTTTGGTGTTTTCAGTCTTGCCAAAATTTTAAGGAATTTTTTTCTTTAAACAATCAAAGTTTAAAATACCCCCGCTGCTGCAAACCTGCAGACTAAGCGAATTTCATGGTTTTTAATTAAATCTATTTCAATCATATTAGGGTTAAGAAGTTTTTTTTTAAGAAATCTTTATTGTTTTTTTCCATACAACAACCAAACACAAAAATACATTTACACAAGAAGAAAAAACAATAACCACCTTAGGTTTAAAACCTATGTTGGTGGATTTATACACTTTCTTATGTTCTAAAATATTACTTGGTTATAATATACAGTGAGTGCGAGTTCTACACAGTGATCTTCTTCAACACAGAGAAAAAACCTATTAAAAAAATTTACTAATTAAAAATGATACAAAACAGTAAAGAGTAATGATACAAGTACCAAGGTTTGTTGTAAACTGCAACAGTTTACTTATTCTCCATAAAAATAGCATAGGAATTTAAAATTTTAAATTTTTTAAACTTTCTCCTGTAACGAATAACCGTAGAAAAACGCTAAAATATACTAAATTATTTGTTGTTTTGTTTTTTTTTTTAGAGAGAAGTAGGAAATTTTATGTTAAGAGTGTAAAAAATGAGAAAATCCAATTTTTACCCCGTTCCCATGGTATGAACACCATCGCCAACTTGTTCACTAAAAGACACAAAATTATGCTTTTCACCTGGAAGGAGTAAGAAGTAAAACTCTGAATAATCGACACAGACAAAGTAGCTTAATGCCTGATCAGATTTGCATCTATAAATCAACCTCTCCAGTTTACCTCCCTGTAGCTGATCACCATTTTAGGTGGTCCTGTCTCCTGTCTCATTACCTTCGCCACAGTGAGTTGCCCACCACAGCTGACAAACCCTTAACTCATGATGCTGTCTCGTTTGGTCAGATTAATTAGGTTAGATTATCTACTACCCGTAAGCAGGTTGCACAAGCAAATCAGTCCTAATTTTATTCCGTGTAATGTTTGCCGTAAATTGCCACATATGTTTAAGGCGAGGTTTCAACCTTTTTTTTATTCAGTTTTGTTGTTTAACGTCTTAATTATTTAACTAGCCCATAACATTGAAGGTTTTTGATGTGTTATAAATTATTCTGTTATAACTTGTGAGTTGATATTTTATATATTTTTGTACACAAAAATGTTTAACATTTTAAGTTTTCACTATCCTATATGTCCACATGTATGTATTTCTGGGATTTATTTTTTTGATCTTATTTATTTATGATTTATAATGTCATTTTTTTATTTATTTTTGTTCACGCAAGCAACATTTTAAATTGAAGAAACACAAACACTCTTAAGAGGAAATGGCCCCCACCCCTCGAAACTTTGTGGATATTCTGTGTATCGAAACTTTATTTCAGGAATACGAAAATTAAATAACATTAAAAACAAATATCAATAGGAGAAAATACTATGAAATATTTAAAGACCAGAACACTTGTTGGAGTTTATCTTACAGAAAAGTGGAAAACGTCATTCCAAGAATCAGTTTACCAATCAGCTATCTTTCATCTCTGTCCGACTCCGACAGTCGACAGACAAGCTTGACGCAAGAATGACGTTCCACTTGAGTGTATGTCTTGATTGACACTCAATGAATGTTAGTTTACGGTCATTCAGAGATCATGATTACATTGAGATTGTAATGGAGGCTAGTTGCTTCACTACTGCTGGGCTCATTCAACCATCCTTGGTGCACAACTAATTTTAACCTTATTAAAAATTAACAGTTTAGAATATCTCTGTAATTTTCGGTTAGGATCCAGCCCTAAAATTATATTTGATTCCCAGGAGTTGATAGTATTGGTACAATCCACATTTCTGCAACGGTGTTAGAAAGAGAACATAAATAAAACTTTGTGTGATTAGGTTTCTCATAGAAATAACAATTATAGATTATTTACGATTTGCAAATCCAATCATACATTTAGCTACACTTTTTATCCAACCCAAGTATTTTTATTTTTATTGCCAATTGTTAGTACTGCAGCAGTAGTATCTTGCTTATGGTATCTAAGGTTGCCAAATGTACACAATTTGCTAAACTAATTAGTTAATTAATATTTCAGTTAGTCCATGACAGCATGTTATCATAACATTTCAAAACCAAGACGTTAACTGTTTCAAAGTACTATCAACTATAGAGGATTAAGATATAAATTGATAAAAATCCCCGTTTTGGTGGTGTAATGAACTATATCTATATGAATGTCAACCCAAACATAGTGATTTTAAATGCCATTATTTAATTTGTAATTTCCTATATTTTCAGACGCAGGCGCAGACGACAACAGTACTGACTCGGTGTACAACAGTCCGGCTCCATGCAGTTCAACCTCCATGCCGGGACAGGAAGACCAGCGACTGCGCCGGAGCTTCTACATCAGACTGCGCCAGCGAGCGCAGAGCCGCAGTGACCAGCCTCAGTACGAGCTGGTGCATGTCATGGGGCACTTGCGCGCGCCTCCACCCGCGCAGACACGTCGATCAGGTAGCTAACAATTGCACCTACAATCTGGGGAACGTTGGATGGAAAGGTGTTCTTACTTAATTAATATTAATGTAATTGACCAAAGCCTCCAACACTCCAACATATCGTGCTGAAGTAAACCAACTTTTCCATCAAGCAATACTGAAAAGGCAACCTAACGTAAACTGTGGTATCTTTCAAGTCAAATAAACCGTGATGGTACTTAAAACTATGAGAGAAAATGAAAGTTTACATTGGCGAACAGAATTGACAATCTCTGAGTCAACTAAGTTCTCTCGGAGTATAAAGCTGGCTAAAGCCGGTCCATATAAATAGAATGTGCACTTTTGTATACAAAGTTTATAAATAGATGCGTTACAACAACGACACGCCTTGACACATAGTTAGAAAGTTGTTGCAAATTTTAGAATAAAAATATAGTTGAATTAAGCCGTCAGCGTGTTATTGTCAATTACTAATTTCTTTTGTGCATAAACACTTTTCAACCAAGCCGAATTGGGAGGTCAACCTAATAATAAAGCGTAATATTTTTGTATCATAAACTCTCTTTTTTAGAGTAGTTCAATGCAAGAGACTTATTCAACTATGTTCTATTTAAATACAAAAACTTTTACAACTGGTTTATGTATAGACGAGGAGTCTACTTCAGAATATAAAAATAAATTGCTGTTTCACATTATCACTGTTGTTTCTATCCAAGAGTTAACTTCACGTTTATATTATATATTTATACAACTTTGTACTATCCAACAAAGCTAATTTTCTCAAAGCACTTACACCATTAACTCGATGTTGTACAGTTGCAGTGTTTAATAGGGTTAAAACATCCATTTAGTAATCACTGACAATATTGACTAGTCTGACAAAAGGTCACTGATGCTCTTTACAACTTTTTAATTATTTGAGTAAAAAAGTTGACCATAGAAACTTTGTCATTACGATGCTATTCTAGTGGACCTAAAAACCAATAGCCAATAAGTTATCTTGTGGTGGTGACAGTTTCATTTACCTGGCAACTATAATGTAATTTAAGATTTCAAATTACTTTCTAGTTTATTTAACTTGTAACACAATATTCTTTCCAACACCTTTGTTTGAAACTTGCTAACAAAGATTTTTTTTCATTTTGCGGCTTCATATTTTCATTGTATAATAATTCAATTGTTGTTATAATTATGTCATAGTCCAAAGATTCTGTAGTAGTTTGGTTAATTTTTCTTTTATTCTCAAAATGTTTTTTCCATTTGAATTGCTTGATGTTAAGCGTAAATCTTATCATAATATGTATAATTTTTATGATGCAATTTTTAAAAATAAGTAAATAATCTTAAAGATTGGTTTAGGTGGTCTGGTGGTTGGAGTGTGGTACTTCAGGTTCAAATCTCATCAACCACCAATGGTTTTTTTAGCTGTGTTATAATTCCTTGATCCATTGATTTGAATTAAGCCATAGGTCCAATGATTTATAAAATACAGAAGGGTAGGTCTCTCGGATGAGGAGAATAAGAACTCTTTCCAACTGAAGTAGTTTTTCCTCTTTAACAACAAATTCTGTTCTTTAAGTAAAAAACTAAAGTATTCCAAATGTAAAAATGCCTTTTGTCACAGTTTCATTTTAAACTTCACAAAAGTACACCGCAAAAACATTATTGAGAACAATGCTGAATAGAACACAATAAAACAAAATAATTAACTGAAGGTTGAAATTGCAACAGATACACATGGCGATGGCGGTCTAGATTCATGTCGCTAGGCAACCATCTGGCCAATCAAACGTTCCAGAAACTTGTTTAAAAAGGAAGCTTACACAATGCATTATTACACACCACAACCTGCTTTGCATTGATTGCTTGAGAAATTACAATTTAACTTGTTGCAAACTTCAATTTTCATTTAATTGGAGAAACTATTACTTTTTGTTTTGATCGTGCTTAGCAAAAAAGTATATTTATGCATAGCTTGGGCTCCTTTCAGGTCATAAATCTTGTAGTCGAGGTGTAGGTTTGTAGGCTAATTGTTGACAGGTTTATTTACTGTACAGTAATAATTTGAGGAAATGTATTTTAGCAATTTGGGTATGCCTTGACTTGTGAATTCTGTTTTAAATTAGCATCGGTTTCTCTTTATTCACACATATTTTAAAGCTAATAAGGCTAGAATTCCCTTGTAAAAATATAAATTTTCTTCGTCCACCAGCTAAAAATTGGTTATTTAAAACTACTCAATCAGTACATTTATCTATATGCTCTGTCTTACTCATCATATGTAATGTTAAATAGGCCTAAATATATAGTTTTGGTTGTTTTGATATTCCCTCAAAACATGGAATAATATATGTTTCCTACCTTAATTTAATCAGGATGATTTTTATGATTGCTACTATTACCACTATATTATGACGTTGACCTTGTGTCCTGTCTAGATGTCACAGCCAGTTTATATGTACTAACTGTCTATATGTCTATATACTACTGTCTATATGTACTAACTAGCCAGTTTTTGTTCCTACTGTTAGTTGATGGGGATATAAAAGATGCTACGGTTTTCAATTAGTTCTTTGAGTTGGTTACAGTTAAGAAGTTTGTGTGTGAGAGATAAAACGATAGTTTACAGCAGCACAGATCAGTAGCTCATTTTCCCATTTTTGAATTCCAAAACTGGTTAGAATTTTGAAATGATAGTGAAATGTCTACTTCACAGTGACATTATTGTATCCATAGTTAGTTAGAGCTATTACATGACCAAATTAAGTTAAGAAAATTCCTAAACTTTTAATGTGTTGTCATGTTAGGCTGACTTCCTTCAATTTTATGTTTATTTTTCTTCGAAGCAAAATTACATAAAACTTCTTAAAAACTGTAGAAGGGGTTCAAATTGAAAACTTCCTGACATTATTACTATTTAAAATTTAAAACTCACTAGTTCATTATCATTTTGTTTACCAAATTCCCTGATAATGTTACAGACAGTCCGCCAAATCACAATGACATAATCTTGGTGGCTGTAGTGAAGCCATTCAGAGAGAAGAGAATCACGACTCTGTCTCTGATGGAGGCTTGTAGAGAAGAGTTCATCACCAGACACACTCTGGACGGCCGCATCATCTACACGGATCACCGGTAAATACTGTATTAATAATTATTAATAAAGAAGGATTGTCAGAATCTGAGTGGAAAGACAGTATAAAAATGATTGCAAATGTGGTGCCAGCGTGTGTTCTCCACAGAAGAAGTCAGGGCAATAACCACTGCAGGCATGCCTGTGGTGAGATTGAAACCCTTGTACATGCCCTTGGCTTCTGTCCGTTTGGTGAGCTTCTAAGAAACACAAGGCACCACAAAATAAGAAGTATTATAGCAAATGTCTTCCTAAAAAGGTATAATACATGGGAAGTGCATGAAGTACACTGTCTTTCGTCTAACGGAAGCACCAGAAGAGTAGATATTTTATTGATCGAAAGAGAAACAAACAAAGGGATAATTCTCGATCCAACAATTTGATTTGAAATAAACCTAAACCAGGCTAATGAAGTAAATGAGGAAAAGAAATTTACGAATCTACCTTTGATTATTTTAAGCAAAATTTCAAAAATGAAGTTGATTGGATTGTTTATTGGTTCTAGAGGAACATAATCAAATTTTTTGTGAACTTTTGGAAACATTTTGATTTGGACAGATCCTTTTTGAAAATTATTATCCATGAAACATTGACAGGTTCATTGACTATAATGAGAAATCATTTATATGGCAAACATCAAAATTAATCAGTCTTATAGCTGTTATAATCCTTCAATATTTTGAGTGTATATTTTTTCAGAATCATTGGCAACCTTATTTTTTAAGGCAGATGTGTTTATTTCTATAAATAAATTCTTTTCTCTATGTAGCAATACCTGTCATCCATTCATCATTCATTTGGATTTCCCTATAATTGTGTGTGTTTCTCCTATAATGTTTGTTACTACCCCATGATTATATGTTACCAGTAATTTAAAATGTTTCTCCCTTTTAATATTGTGATACTTCATTATATATTGTTTAGTATCTAATAATATCCCATCACCCAACAGAAATAGCATCTCCCCTTTTGTTCTACAATATCATTATTTATGCATTTATATCAATTCTCACCATATTTATCCTCTGTTTGTCAATAATCTAGAATAATCACAACCTACTTAGATAGAATAATATATTATTGTAAGAAATATGCAATATAAAAATACCTCATATAGTCATATAACCTTAAAATTAGTCCAAAGAAAATCAAAATTACTGTGGCGAGTTGTAGCCTACTTCATGTGAATTCACCAGCTATACTGTTCAACAATGGACATGTGAACTTCCAGACCTTCATCCTTTGATTCTCCCCAGTTCCTGCCAGCTCTTCATTGTGATAACTTCATTTTATAGGGCATTATTCCTAATTCCAATGTTTGGCCTAAGAATTACATTGCTTAGACAGACAGACAGGAAATCTGTATTCAAAATCTTAGAGATTTGAAGGGGTCAATACAATATTAATACAAAAATGAGATGAATTGTCAAATACAATCAAAATTCTGCAAGTCCATAAATTCTTTCATGCTGTAGAATGGCATCTTGCAGAACCAACGGGTGAGTTCAGCTTTCAAGGTTTTAGGGTTGTCACCTTTCAGCTCTCCTGGCAACATGTTGAAGAATCTTACCTATGCTGTACACTGCAACAATTTTACTTAACTAAATCTAACAGTTTTAAGCGCTGTTGCAAGCGCTCAGTTTTACAAATGCAATGCAACTCTATTTAATGACCAAGAAGTTTCATTAAAAATTACATCATGTAATGTAATATAACACCAAACCACGCAAACCAAGCGTAAGCGGCCCAAACTACGTTGCCAAAATCGGTAACTACCGTTATATTAGCGTTATATGGTCCCTCTTATACATGTATACTCAATGCTAGTACACACTAGTGCATAGTTTAATGTGAACCAGAATGGAAAAATAAATGAAAAAGAAACTGTGGAATCAGATTTATTAAATATTGTTTTACAATCTGAAACATATTTGTTCGTCCTGATAATTCAACCTGTTCATTGATAATTGATAGTTATCATCAATCAGTTATCAATGAAGCAACATTTTAGTTAAACTATTTACTTGTTCACAGGATATCTATAGTGGCAGGTTACTTGTCTGAAGAAGTGTGTGGAGTGCCAGGTTTTCAATACATGCACAAAGAAGACATGCGATGGACTATGGTGGGCCTGCGCCAGAGTACGTATATATAACTTGGCAGTTCGCTGTTACTTCCCTCCTGCTTAAACACATTCTACTTGCATTTGATAAACCAGAATTTTCATATATTCTTTGGTATTGTGAATGGTAACAAAACTGATAAAAAAATACTACTCTTCATTCCTAATTTGAATCACCAAAATCTTTTCTGTAAGCTTTGTTTGATAAGCTGTGCTAACGATAACAATATTTCATCTTTTATATTTTCATTTGTAATGACTGAAATCATTTTCATCGTATACTAGAACTGGCTGTGTGGAAAGCTTCCACAGTATAACAAAAATACATCTTAGTCTTACGGAAATTAGAGTGTTGAAAATTACCAACGTAACGTATCTGATAAGTTGGTGTAATTAATTTTTGGGGCTAACTATAATTCAAATTAATTGGAGCTTGCCCCAAATATGTATCTTCCTTGTATATTATTGAAAATAGGGGAAATAATTGTTTGGATTGCAGATAATTACAATAACAAAAACGCTTTGGCTACACAATCACTGAATCACTGATTGTTATTTTGTCTTGCAAATATTGTTAGAAGTCAAATTAACCTTAAATAATAGTATACATTAACAGTTTCAAAGATTTTCTTTTTTTCAATAGTGTAGAAGGTTTTTACAATTTTACTTTGGAATTTTTTCTACAAAATATTTTAAGTTAGTTCTAAATATGGTAATTATTTTGCAGTGTTTTTCCGAGGCTCATCCTATGGCCAGAGTTGTTATCGACTTCAGACCAAAAATGGTAATTTCATTTACCTAAAGACTTGTGGATATTTGGAACTGTCGGAAAATAATGACAGCTTCCAGTCACTCATCTGTATCAACTCACTCGTCACGTAAGTACTGTTACTACAACCATTAAAATGTATGTCATTACATCATAAAATGACAGGACATTTGTCAATACAGTATTATAACACCTAAAACTAAATAGCAATATTTAAATCAAAACTAAATAATTTAAATATTAACTCTCCTAATTTTCACTTAAACATTCATTCAAGGAATAAAATTTTTTAAACCAGTCATTTTTTAAATTTTTTTTGGATTGGTGGTGTTTTTTAAATGATTAGGAACTAAGCTGCAAAATTTGTGTCCAATATACACTATTGAGGTGATGCTTAAATTACTGTATAGTGTAAATAGTGTAGATCTATGGCTAGTGGGCTTAGGTAAGTTAAATGTCTAATGTACTCTCCCTGAAAATGTACCAGTTTTTTTAGAAGCAGTGTTTTGGATATTTATTATTCTGGTCGTAAAATGCCAAAACCTGAAAATCCTGGAAGATAGTTTTACACGTACTTCTTTGTAGTATTTTTGGCTATAATTCTAACACATCAAAAAGGTCTAAACAATCTAAAAATCGAAACACTCATCTAAAAAAACTTAACTATCACATACATTACAACATTAGAACACTACAACTATAACTATAAGTAATGATACAAAATGCAAAGTATAACCGATAAAAAAAAAAAATCTATATGCAGGAAAAGAAAAAATAAGATATAGGGTAAATAGCTCACAACACAACAATGAAACGCTAATCACACAGCTCGCAATGGCGCCACCAATGAGAATGAAGCCTCATGGTCGACCAATCCAGACACGGAGACAACCAAAAATTGCGTGATTCCTGGAAAATGAAAACCAACAAAATGGCAGCGCGATGTACAATGCCGCAAAAAAAGGGGGTGTAAATTTTGTTTATTCCTATCACCAGCCTTACTACGAGTTAATTACGTGCAAATTTTGAGGAGAACTTATGATTTCCCTACTAATTGAAAAATTATGTTTCCTATCCTTTTAGTTCAATGTCAAGAGTGGGTAGCCCATAGTGGCCTGATTTCAACCCAAGATTGACTGTTAGGTTGGTCTACAAACTTAATGGACACATTTTATGTTCTTTTATTCCAGTGTTCAATCAATGAATACAAACCTTATAAGAAGCAAAATACCCATGTTAAAAATTCAGCCTGGGATTTTTTAATTTTGGCAAGTTATCACGACGGCCGCTAAGTAGGAAAGGCCCTACTATCGCTGGTGTGCGGCGGCGTCAATGGGACCCCACAGCAGTGTGGTGTATGTCCGTGTTGTTTTGGTGGTGTGTTCCTTTAGCCTTAAAAAATGTTATTATGTATTTCTCCGATCAACATGCCTCCTATCCCTCCTCGGTATGGCAGCAGGGCGCAACTGGGCTTCAACGAAACTCGAGTGTTCCTCCTTAATATATATTCTTCTAGGTTTAAGCGTTGTTAAGCGCCCACTAGTTACGGAGCAAATTTTAAAAATCTGTAAATTTAAAATTCCTATGTTATTCTTAAGGATAGTAAGAAAACTGTTATAGTTTGCTTGATTGATCTTTGAATAACTGGTGAATGGCCAACCGACTGAAATGGTCGGTTACAAAAATGTGTATTTTGCGTACATGATGAAACTTTTACTAATAAGGTTGCTTGTATGTAATTTTCATGAGCAAAAAATTAGATGATTTTGGATTTGTGATTGCCAGCAGTTTACATCTGGTAGTGACGTAGTGAATTTTGGCGAGAAGACAACGATAATGCCCACTGTCCAGTGTGTCTACATCGTGTTCGTAACGTATAATGTCTTTGCCGAGAGCAAGTGTAACTTTGTAATTTATTGTTGGTGTATTTTTATTGAATCCGTTATATTTACCTTGTGAAAAGTGTCTGGGTGTGTATAACAGTAATATTCATGCATTATTTAGATCACAAATATTACTGAAGTGTGCGAAATAGTAAAATATCGTACAAAAAACTCATGCCGTCAAAACATCAAATTATTATACTCCTTGTATGATGATATAAAATGTACCATCCAGGCCCGGAAACCAGAAATTGTTTCAAGTTCTTGAACACTTGTACTTAAGTTTCAACTGACTTACAATATCCCCGTTGTAGACCGGCCACACTGCTAGTAGGGAATAAAGTATCTAGTTTTTGTGTCAATCAGACTAATAAGGCCTATCTATATATACTCGTATTATTTTAGTCTGCAGCGTTGCTGTGCCAGGGATATTTAGTTCTGTAGTTTGTTGCATGGGGTTCAACTTATCTATACCAATTGCAAAGCCTATACATCCAAGGCCAAATAAACATACAAAATACTTGTAAGCTTCAAGGAAGCATTTTTAGCCAATGGGAAACGTGCCGCCGCTACAAGACAAACATGTTTATTCATTTATTGTTTTGTTATGTCCTAGCTTTACCCGTCAAAACTAGTCTGATAAGATTCTTAGTATGTACCAGTAGAAATTTAAAATGCTTGGGTATTTATACTGTAACTGCTAAATATTGATGCAGTTGCAAACAGTATGAATACATTTATCCGGTTCATACACTTAACCATAAAAACGTAAACAATGGGAATATTGTGTTTTGTCAAAAATGTAGAAGCTCTCAGCAAAATAAAGATGTTAAATAATCACAAAATCAGTGGCATAAACATTTGGTACTATTCCCTAGTTATAAACAAGCCGAAATATCTTAAAAATTTCAAATTCCATATTAAAAATGTTAACAATCATTTTATTTTTCACAAATACATTAAATTCTGTAGAATTATCGCCTTATTGATTGTTGTTATGTTTGTTAAAGTATTTGGATTCATACCACTGATGTAATATTCGTGAAACATACGAATATGCCAAGAACATAAGAACAAAAAATACTAAACATTACAATTTATGACAAGAAATGGAAATTTTACCTATTGTGCTAATTTTGAAGCTATCGGTCATCACAAATAAGTATACTAAACAATATTGTCATGTTGCCGATGAACAATATTGCTACTTGCTAGTTGCTGCAATACACTGCCGTGCATGCTCTAATATGTTATGTGCATGTGAAGTTTTGTTACTGTCGGGTAAAAAAAACAAACTCAGATACACTTTAGGCTCGCCCTTTCGCCACTCCACTACTAAGGAGTTTTAAGCCCAAGGTTGTGTGAACGTGAACTGAACAGTGGTCACGTTCAGGAGACAGGTGGTAGAAGGGTGAGCTCTACTGCTGTTCTCCTCAAAATTTGCATGTAATGTTTACTCGGAAAAAGGCTCGCGATAATTTTGTAATTTAATATATTTTGCATTTTGTATCATGATCATGACTTGACTGCTAAACAACAAATAAACAAAAACAACCCCATTTTGCGACATCGTACATCATTCCGCCATTTTGTTTGGTTTTACTTTTCCAGGGACTCCATTTCCGGTTGTCTCCGTGTCCGGATTGGTCGACCATGAGGCTTCAATCTCATTGGTGGCACCATTGCGAGCTGTATGAATAGTTTTCCATTGTTGTGAGCTATTTACCCTATACTTACTTACTCTTACTCCAATGGCCATTTGTACCCCAAGTGGTACTTGGCCTCACCAACACACTGCCTCCACGTTGTCATGTCTCTTGCGGTATCTTCATTGACCTCCATCCTGGCCATATCTTTCTTTACTTCATCTGTCCAGCGTTTCTTCGGTCTCCCTTGTGGTCTTCTCCCCAGTGGATCACTTTTCCATATTTGATATAATGTGCTTGTTTCCTCTCTTTTAATGACGTGGCCCGTCTAGCGAAGCCTCCTGCTTTTAAAAGCCTCTGCGATTATACCAGGCTCCTTGAACAGTTCTCATGGATCCTGATTATGTTTAATTCACCATACGTCTCCTTCTTTAGTAGGGCCTTGCACGGGACTTTGTTTTCAAAAGTAATTACAGTAGTTTTTTATCTGTGGTTTTATCCATATACCAGGTTTCAGCTACATATAGAAGGACAGGTCTTATGATAGTTTTTTGTAGATTCTAAGTAGTGTGATGAGATAATAATCTTGATGATAATAATTTGCTTAAAGCATACATACTTCTACTGGCTAGGTTTATTTTGTTCTTTATTTCTATGTGTTTCTCACTTTATGGGCTGACAATAACTTCTAAATATTTAAAAGAATCAACTTGTTGATTTACCTACCCTTTGACTTTTTTTTCTTTTCTTACATATAGATTTTTTGTTATTGATTATATTTTGCATTTTGTATCATGACTTGACTGCTATACAGTGCCTACTTGACTCCTACTTTCTGTAGTTCATTCCAACTGAGGTTGAGTTTTGTGTATTGTTAGTTTAGTTGTAATGTGTTAGTTAAGTTTTTTTTCACCTGAGGGATCAGATTTCAGATCCTGAAACGTAACGTTGTGTATTGTGTTTTACCATTCTGGTAGATAATGTAGTCCGCAATAAACCTTTATTAAGCAACAATATTTATTATACTAATTTATTACTCTTGAGGGAGAAGAAAGCATCACCTTAATTCTATACTAGGGTTCACGAAACATTCCCGAAATTTCGGAAAATTTTTGTGAAAAAAATATTCTCTATTTTCGGGACGGGATTACATTTGATCCGGGAATTTTTTGGGACGGGATTTGATCCGATCGTTAGCGACTTTGTAGCTTCGCGAGTGACGATGACGACGCTGTCACGAGAGATGTTCGCGATGTCCGCGAACGCAGGAGGCGGAGTCATACCATACCGACGATCATGCCGTGACCATGAGTCATACTGACAATCACGCCGTGACCGTGGACTTATTTCGACGATCCCGCCGCGACCGCGGAGTTATACCGACGATCCCGCCGTGATAGCGAGTCATGTTGACGTTCGCACTGTGACCGCAAGTCATTTAGACTGCGAGTCACAAGTTGTCACCTGTAAATTTTTACCCATTATTTTATTTTTATGGATCAGTGCCACAAATGGTAAAAATCTATTTTGTTTCCCTTTTTTGGTAACTGCAATACAGAAGACTTTCTTTTCATGCACAGGAAAAAATCCCATCCCGTCCCGTCCCGAACTAAAATTCAATCCCGTCCATCCCTACTTGACATTTTCATTAACAACGGTGTTATTGTCTGTGAAATGCTGAGAAATAAGGGTACTACTGGGTTACTAACGGACATACACAAAACATACAGAATACAGACAGCATTGACTCAGGAAATTTAGTATGCTAACCAATGGTAACCAGCAATGTACAAAGAAAGTAAGAGTGGGAACGCCGTTCTCGCCCCTACACCACTGTGCAACATCAACGATAACTAAGTTTAGTAATGATTTTGATTGTACCCAAAAGTGATTCTCGCTACCACTGGTTCTTAAGAAAAGTACCGGTACCGAGAACCAACGTCAAAATGTGGTTATGGATAATTGGGTAGTCATACGTACTAATAGTAGATGGACCATAGGCCTATTGCCAGTACGGTCCAGCAATGGCGGTGCAATAGTGGTGAGTTGAAACCGAAATTGACCCATAGGAAAAGTGATTTTAGCAGCATTTGCAAATCCCCTGTTACGATCACAACGAAATCATAAAGATCTTCCGAGATCGCTGAAACATCCGTGATCAACCACTGCAGTTTTAATTATTTTCTTGACACAACAGTCTACAAAACGCTGTTAATGAGTGGAAACCTCAATTGTAAACTGTCAGCAACAATTATTAAAAAATTAAGTTTTCCAGTTCTATACAACACTGATCCTCCGTAACTTTCCCTGTTATCAAATCTCAAGTACAGTATAATTTTTTCTCGCTGTATCTCTGGTTTACCTGAATGGTACCTAACCATTTAATTTAATTTACAGTCACACAATATTGTACTTGCGATCAAATAAATCTGTTATGTAAGTCACAAGGTTATTAATCTCACTTGGTTTTGGATTTGCTTACAAATCGTGATCGGAAATGGTTACAGTATTTGTTAACAAAATTTAATGTAAACAATCAGTGACAGCTAGAAAAAAGAATCTTTATCCAAAAATTGTTTGTTATTTCATAGATGAGGTGTTTTGTAAACAGATGATTTGTAATTTATGACGTATGTAGTAAACATTGGGAGAAAATGTTTTAAAAATCCCACAAAATAGGGGCTTTGTACATTCGTTATTTTATTTCCAAAGTAGTGAGGCCATATTTTAATAGCTAAAGACATTTTCACCAATCCAGTGATACAATAAAACTATTTGAATCTTGATCGGTAGTCTAGTTATCTTGGAGTAGTAAATTGGAATTTTGGTGTTATATACACAAGGAAAGACAGACAAACAAACAGACGGATAGAAATTTAGATAAGCCTTGTTTCGGCTTTCTTAGGGCATAAAACGTTAAAATAACCAAAAGATTCATGATTCTACCCAATGTACAGAACAAACTGTAATTTTATTTTCTTCTCACATAGGCTTTTGCGGCCACTGTCATAAGAGTTCATGGTGTTTGTTTTTCGGCATCAACCGTGTCGTCACTACTAAACTGCCAGACATTTCGCCCTCACTATGAAGTGGTATCCTCAGTTGCTAGGCTGAGACTCTTGTAACTCTGTAACTATTGGAACTCTTGTAATTTTACTTATTTAGATGTCATGTTTCCATTACAGAGCTGGCGAAGGGGAGGCATTGATCAAGCAGATGAAGGAACAATACTCTCCTGTCATCAAGAACAAGAGTGACAGGAACATGGAGATTCTATCTAGCAATATACAGAATGTAAGTGGGAACATTGTCAGTTGTATTATTTACAATCCCTAGAGGAGGAAAGCAAAGACCGATTTATATTAGACATAAAGAGACATAACCTAACCCCTCTATCTAACCCAACTATGTGAGTAAAACCTGTGTAAAAAAAACCCTTAAATACTATATTTCAATTTTTGGTGATGTTAATGAGGTAGACCAAGTCTGATCAATGGCCTAGAGACAGCATCCTAGATTAAACGTTTGAATCCCGTCTAGGGCGAGTTTGATGGGAAGTAAAATAAACAGTGATGCACTTTGAGTGGTTATTTGTGAGCTACACATCGCAAAGTCAACGGAGAGTAGCATTAAACAATGCTGCTCCCTTACACTGATGTAGAAACATACAAATTCATATTGAACTAACAAATATTCCAAAAATTTACACCTGTCTTCTTCAGTGATTTTGGCGTGTTCTGTGGATAAATTATCAACATTCAAATTACTCACAAATGAAAGATGCTATGATTATTTAGCAATCATAAAATTTTAGAGATGATTGTCTGATTTCTAATAAGTCTTGTGTTATAGACTGGAGGCGTGGAGACGTCAGGGGAGACGGAGGACAAGAAGTTAGTGGACGCAGCCATCAACCAGATGTTGTCTAATGTGCCCAGCCCAGCACCTTTCATGCACAGTCCTGCATCCAGCAACATAGACCCCACGGACTCTAGCTTTGTCAAGGTAAAGTGTTCGACAGTCTAATGATACATTAAGCGTAACAAATCTGGTAAGGAGACGATAATTAAGTCTCTGCGACCGCAGAAGATGTTGGCCGTGACTACAGAAGATGTTCTTGATTTTGTCCTGACCCCAGGAAAATGTTCACGATTTCGCTGTGACAATTTTGCTTGATGATGAAAACATTATATCATTTGCAGGATATGAAAACAAACATCGCCTACTTCACTTTGATAATGATACGTTACTTACGGCTTTCCTGACATTTGTAATGAAATCGCTAGCTTTGATAATGTTTGCAGTGACATAGTTAGCTCTATACTAATGTCTTTTAAAACAAATTAATAATTTCTAAACTCGAGTTTGCAATAGGTAGACATTTGGAATAGCATGACTCTAATATATTAGCCCCTGTAAATTAGCTGAACTCTATCCCTTTAAAAAATTCACACTGTTCAGTGATAGCACTAACTTGAAGTGGATATGAATGCTACAAATTAAATTCTTAATCAGAATAGAAAGTGTTATGGTATTTATAGAATGTAAAAAGGACGTTTAATGCTCAAAACAAATATTTACACTCATCCTGGTAACGTTAAATACATAAGATAGAAATAGATGACTGATTTTGATTGCACACTCCAACTATAGGACCTATATTTGATATTGGGATCACTGCGGTTGGTAACACTGTCTTCTGTCTATAGGCGACGCTGGCAGCCAAAGCGTTGCCCCCCCTGCATGTGATAGTCAAGAAGATAGGCATAGTTCCGCCCATAATCCGCACCCCCGCAGCAGTGGCCGCGTCACTGTCTCCCCCCTCCAGTCACCACAGTCCTCCGCCTCCTACGGCCGCCCACTCACCACCTAGACCTGTGCCTGCGCCTTCTACACAAGACAGACCCTCCGTGCTGCGAGTGGCACATCGTCAGGGAGACCAGGTAACAATGTGATGAAAAACGGTCTTGCTATCAATTTTTAAAGACACATTAAGTATTATTAACAATATTGTCTAAACTATCCCCTGCTGTCCTTGAATGATCATTGGGCTTTTAATGAATGATCTTGGCTAAAGAACCAGCTGATCTTGGCCAATAACAAAGATGTCATCCCATTCATTTAACATCCATCCTTCTTTCACTTTTGTCTCAAAATATGCATTGTGGTATGTTTGGGTTTTTTATACTTTGTAATAAACCTTGACTTGAAAAAGGTAGCAATTATTGAAAAAGAGCCCTACATCTATGGTTAAAAGTATTATTATGCTTGGAAAATAATTACACAAATTCGGTTATCTTGTGGGTGAATGAACTTAAAATTAAAATCAAAATCACAGCCAAACCTTAAAGTAAAGGTTTTTACAAAATAACATTTTACTACTGCAAGTATAATTTTAAATTGCCATCAGTTATCAGTTTCATACATGTCTTATTAGCACAGAGCCCAGCTTACTTTTTTAAAATAATACACTAACACCATGAGATATCAAGAAAGGTTGATGTCAACACCCAGCTGTTGATGCTGAATATTTTACGCTTTTACTGTCATACAACCTACTGTTTACACCAAACCAGCCTTGTAACTGAAGCTGTTGTTGATTAATCAGTTTAACAATAAGTGGTGTATCACATGCTCATGTTAAAGTCACACTATTGATCAATTACATATCCGAACGTCTCAAGATTTTTACACCTCTTATAACTGGTCTGCAGGTTCTCGATACTTTTGAGGTAGGATTGGAGCAACAGTTGACCCAAGAAGCAGTTCAAGGCCAGAATTGATATAAGACCAAACGCAGGATGGGTCGAGCCGAGCCAACCTTTTATTTTTCCGATTGCAGAAAGCATCTGTTGAGTTACGTGATTAATTGATGATTTCGCTGCGAAATTGGAAAGCGGTTTACATTATGCAATGCCTGTGGAAGATGTTGACGATTTTGTCGTCCCTGCAGAAGGTGTTTATAATTTAACCGTGATATAGTGAAGATTATGTATTGTATATATTATATTGTAAACCTAAAGATGGAAACCAGCCCAATATTTGAAGAAGAAAGTGACAGACAAAAAAACTCCTTATTCGCTGTTTACCCGTAGATGACTTGTGAAAGACAACTGCATTAAGGTTTCCATGATAACCTGTAAATGTTTTGTGACTGACTGTATGTTGCAGGTGTCGGTGATGAAGGTGAAGAAGATGAGGATAGACTGGGAAGGTTCAGCCGAGGTAATGTCAGAGCACAGCCCTGCCTCGGCCCCTGTCTCACCACGTGGTGTGTTGGTCGCTCCTGGATGTAAGCGCAAGAGTGAAGAGTGGACGCAAGCTCCGGCCCCGTCACAGTTTCCTCTGCTTGTCCCCGCCAAGCACAGTAGTGAGGACGAGTGGTCAATGGCTGCCTCAGCTGCGGCTCCCCCACTTCCCACCCCTACAATCAGCCCCCCGCCGTTCCCTCTGGAAGTCAGCGAGCTCCTGAGAGACACAGACTTCCCCGACTTTCCTGACAGTTAGTATTGTGAAATATTTTATAGAATTACCACTAAAAAGCAAAGATTAACCAAAGTCTTGTTAAATTAAAGAGCAGCATTCTATTTAATTCATTCACATTGGCAACCAAAGCTGTTTGATAAAATGTGCATACTACAATTTCCGTGACAGCTCTGATTTGGAAATTCTGGTATGTACATTATTCCATTTGTTCAAGTAACAATAGGCCTACTATACTATACTATATTATATTACCTACTTATGACTCAGCCACTTGTTCCTTATTTGTAAAATGTAATTCAATTAATTAACTTTTTTCAGTACCAATCAATACATCATATTCAAATTGAAATATTTGATTTTTCAGATGATGAATCGCCCCCTTCCCTCCCAACCAATCTGGAGGTAAGTTGACTTAAAATCACAGCATTTTTTTGAAGAAAAACAGAGTTCAGGTAACTTTCCTGGAAAATGAGTCTAGGGTCTAGTAGATACACAATAAAATATAACACTGGTATTGTGTCATAATTTAGGACAATTTTCAGATGGTTAATTGTAGAGAAATGTCTGTTGAAGTTCAAACCTAGACTCCCGTTCAGTGATGCTAGCCGTGGCCATCACATAAAAAGGGAAACAAAAATAAAAATGTACTTAACATTGGTTTTGCTCCATCCATTGAATGTTTGATGGTTCCACAGGATATTTATGGGATGACACTGTCATGGCAGCCGGAGATCCTGGAAACGTCCCACCAAACCCTGGACTCCCGGGTTCAGCTCCAGAGTGACCAGATCCAAGATATCCAGCGGGACCTCACCTTGGTCCCTCCGGAGCACTCCAACACCAACCTCTACAACTCCAGGCTATCCCAGCTACAGGTATGGACAAAGGATTCAATTATGTTTACCTGTTCTGCTCATTTGCATAATGTACCATATAATATATTCATACTTCTAGATTATTTTTGTGTTATACGTTCTACAACACACATTTCACCAATTTAGATCTACTGGCAAAAAATATAACAATGTAAAACATTAGAAATCTTCATCAACATGAGTGAGTAACTATAGCTGGGCTACTGAGTAGTTAGAACAAGTGTCTTCTTATTCGAAGGCTGCTGGTTCAATACTGTAAAAAGCTATGGTCATTCATAATTAACTTATTTATCATTAATTCATCTTCACCTTAATCATGGTAAATGGTTTCTCCATTATAGTTCTTAATTTGTTAATTTTACTTGTTTATTGACCCCAATCTACCATTGACAATTTTCATTCTGTACATTTTCCATTCCCAAATCTACAGAGTTTTGGTATTTTCTTAGGGATTCTTCTCAATTTAGGGTAACATTTTCTTCTTCATTGGTTTTTCGAAATGCCCATATCATCTGCAGTCAATCTCTCATTATAATACAGATTTCTTGTATATTTCACGCTGAATTTTGCAAGTGACAAGAGCTTATTTGGACTGACCAAGCACTCCTACCTTCTTGTTCAGGCTAAACCATTACAACTTATTTAACGTAGTCTCTCCGATAATAAAAAATATTCTCTTCCTCTTAACTTGAAATTATGATAAAACAAGACAAAAATCACAACAGAAAACTAACTTCATCATGGTATTTTGTGAGTTTTCCTCATAACTTCAATCTGAAATTTAACACCTAATGTTTGTGAACATAAAGAGAAAAAGTTGTAATTTATGCGCCTGAATACCATTTGGTAACCAGTAAAATAAATATCAAACAGAAAATAAGCACTCTAAAAGAAGGTGGAAATGTTCAGTCAAGCTAAATGACCAGACCACCACAAAACTCAGTACCAAATGTGGCTTCTGACATAATGCAATCCATGTTTGGGTTTGGGACGGATAGTAAAAATGGAGTTTTCATTAACAGATGGAGAAGCTGGCTTTCTTGCTACAGCATGTTTACCACAAGATGAACTCTTTCCAACAAAAACTGGAGGAACCAATATAATGATTGCCATTCGGTGTGTGGAAGCGAAAGCTACTACCCTGTCGAAGGTCAGCTTTAGACTTTTACTCCATGTTAGATTGCTGTTGATCGTTTCGGCAGTCAATTTGTAAATCCACCCAAACTCGAATTTAACGGACATTTAAAAACGTAACTGTTTAGTAAAGTAAATCCATATCTAAATAGAAATAATATGCTAAAATGTAAAAGTATTTTCACTTTTTCAACTTTAACCTCACACTTTGAAGCTTTCAATATTTTACACACTTGTATACTTTGTTGAATTTTTATTCATTGTTTGGCCTTTGAAACTTGGACAGTAAAACTTTTCTTTATTCACTCTTTATTTTCAACGTTAATATGGATGAACCTTAGAGATATTTTTAAACCAGCTATTTGAAGGAAAGAACTGTTATTATCTCTGAGCCCTATACTACCATGATTATGCAAATACCTAGTAAGCACTCATGTCAACCAACTTATTATATTACCTCACAAACACAACACATTGCATTATATTTGAGTTAATTAGGCAGTATATGATTGTTTGAATGTTGGTATGGATGGGTTTTATTGACCATAGGCAAGCTTTCAAAGTCATGCCAAGAAACCCAGGGAGAACATTTTCATGATTTGCATAGTTAGGAAAGTTAGTCAAAAATTCTAACTAGTTAGAAGTTAGAAGTTAGTCCCGTAAAAAGTAACTGATAGAAGTTATAAGTTAGTTAGTTTAAAAAGTAACTGATAGAAGTTATTAGTTAGTTGAAAAACTAACTGATATAAAATAAAGTTAGTTTTAGTAGAAATTAGTTGTTCGTTGGGCAGTTGTTTTAAAGTATTTTTTAATGTCACATCTTGGTTACTAATATATACTATAATATGAGTAAAGATTGCGCAAGATATGATTTAAAAAATGGCTCCTACGATTTCCTCCAATTTCAATGCTATTGAAAATTGCTTGTATAATACATTTGCATTGTATGATGTCTTACTAACCAAAGGGATTATTACGACTGTTCAAAAACATTAAGTGTTTTACTGCAAAACAATATACACTGACATTGAACTAAAAATCTAAAGGAAAGGCCAAGGAGATTTGTATTTTTCGACGATGCATCGCACGAATTGATGCGTTATTACACCATCCCGTAATTATAGTTGCAACGTTCCACGATCCCAGTGACTTAATGCAATAACGGTTGTCAGATAACAGATGTTATGTATCATGAGTTTTATATTGATTGAAGCTTATTGTGGACATTTTATAGATTGATCGTCCAAATTAAAAAGTTTTGTAGACTAAATTGAGGATAAGTGGATGTCTAACAAAAACGAATTGTCTTTACTACTTAATTAATCGTAGTAAGACTGAAAATATTTGTAGGCTTATAAGCTCTATTTTTTACCTCTTGAACAAATCAAACACCACGAGCAAGATCGGTCCCCTGGTACTTGTGTTTTAATCAAACATTGTCACATTTTACATTACTACAACATAAACAAATGACATAAAACTTGTCAGATAATGAACATCAACTAAAGACAATGTTTTGACACTTGAGATGATATATCAATCACCAAACAAACATTTCCCCTTCCCACCCATCAGTGCTTGGGGTGTTGATAATGGCCGGCACTACCCCAACGATGTAAAAACTACTGGATTGCGCTCTCAGTAGCACTGCGGGCGCTGTTTTCGGTCTAGCTCCCCCCACCATCTACTGGCAGTAGCCGACGCAGCCCATACACTCACCATTGTAAAACGGGCCTTTTTAAGTTGCTGCTCTGTTTAAATATATAGATATAAAATATTGCTAATACATGCCAAAAACTTTTACTATTCTCAGGGTGTCTACCAACCGGGAAATCCAGGAAAACCGGGAATTGTACTTAAATTTTTACTGGCCATGAAATGTACTGGAATTGTCCTTAAATGCCAGACTATGTCCTTAAATTTTTAATGGGCCATAATTTTATTGATCGCTAGTTGGTTAGGAGCACATAAAAGGTTTATCAGATGTTTGTTTACATTTTCATAATTTATTACTAGAGTAATTATGCAATAAAAATCCCATTAGCAATCTCAAACCCATTAATATTTTATCATGACAATCAAGTGTCAAGTCAAGTACTTCTAAGAACTGTTGACTCAGCAGCTAGCTCATAAAAGTTGTATCACTTTTATTCCTTTACAACTTCTTTTTTTTATTACTAGGGTAATTATTATTAGATCCCAAACCTATTTTATCGTGGAAATAATAGCTTTATAATGGCTGTTAAATTTCTTTTCTTACTTGTACTTTCTGCTTGAAGATTCATGAAGATTCAATTTGCCGCGGCCAGTGCCTAGTGCCATAAAACTGTTTATGGTTTCATATTAAACATGTAAATAATCTATAGTCTTATTTTGTAAGTTAACCCCTTTTTGTGGACATTTTATCTTTCAATTGACAAAACCACAAGCATTGTTGTTTGCATTAATGTTTTATCACTATGTAGGCCTGCTTGGTTTCAAATTATGTCCTTGCATTTTCTGTGTCTTTGTCTATTGTTGGCTATTCAGGTTTCAATGTTTTTTTGTTTCCCATATATTTATTTATTGAGTTGTATGCTTTAAGCAATCTAAATCTTATGAACTAGAATGATGATAGTGACTTTGCTGCTATTATAACCTCATTGTTTGTTACTCAGTTTATATAGGCCCTCATAAATAATTAGGTCTAGGCCTGGGTATTTTGATTCTTGAAAGAGCTGTAAAATATATTGAGAAAATGTAATAATTACATTTTCTTAAAATATATTTTTTAAATATATTTGTTGAGCCTAAGATAAACAACTAATGATTGCTATGTGTCGATATTAACTTTGCAAATGAAGATACAATAATCTTACGCTGTGCTTATTGCTTATTGGTAGCCGCTTATCATACCTTGATTTTGTACTAAGAATTGAGTAACAATATGCATTAAAGATTTTTTTTCAAAAGTAGTCGAGAACCTAACGTTGTGCCAGGGCGAATCATGCCAAATTAATCGGCCTGGATCGGATAAGCTATGTTATGAAGTTTACGTGACCGATGGAGATATTTGTCGCTATCGCAGGAGACAATGATTGCGTTTCTCTGTTACACTATAAAAGCTTTACCTAAAGTATAGGTAGGCCTGTGTTTGTTTACTTTCAATAAATTTCTATTTTGAAATTTTTAACTCTTATCTATTTTACTTTTCTCTCTGGTACAACTACAGTGAATAACAAGATTAATACAGTTTGACAAATCAGGAAAATTATTCGGTAGGCCTAATGACACCGACAAAGGTTACGGCAAAGTGTCCTTAAATGTACGGGAATTGTCCATGAATTTTTTATCCAGAATGTAGTAGACACCCTGTATTCTAAACTTTATGTCTTCTTATTTTCGTGCAAAAAATAACACATTTGAACTCTTAAAAACCCTACTACATTTGTCCAGTTTTTACCGCAAATCTATGCTTGACATTAACGTGATAGGCATACTTTTTTATGACCTATTTTGTAAGATACATTGTCATTAAACATTGAAAGAAAAAATATCGCGTTTACGTCAAACATTTACGTTACCACTGCGGCAAAAACTTAGCAAAATTATTCTAAATGTTTATGTACTAGTTTTTCGATTAATAAAATAGAATTTCAAACACAAATATTGTACTTTATATTTCTCCTTTGTAATCACTTATTATTTTACCATGTACAATTTGGAACTAGCAATATCAGTTGTCTAAAAAACTCTACAAAACGGGTTTAGTGAATTTGTAGTTTTAAAGAATTCAAATGGGTTATTTTCTGCAAGAAACAAAACAGACATAAAAGGTTTAACTAGTAAAAAGAGTTTGACAAGCGTTAGCAATATTTTATCCCTATAAATTTCAACAGTGCAGCAAATAAAAAGTGTGTTTTATAATGGTGAATGTATGGGCTGCGTCGGCTTCTGCCAGTAGGTGGTGGGGGAAGCTCGACCGCGCGGCCAACACTGAGCCAGCGATCCATGAGTTCGTTGCACTACCCTTCCACAGCGAGCCTTTCAAGACCGGAAAATGCCGCGCTTCTGCGCATGCGCTAGTAACTGGTGGCGTAGCAGCAGCTATTTCAGAAAGTCACGGTCACTAACCTCTAACTAGCGTCGTTGTCGTAGTATTTATCTTGACTGCACTGCAACTGCAACTAGTTCCTAACAATTATTATTCATATCGTTTGTTATTCTTTATGTTATGATCGAGTTATGTCTGAGTTGAAGTTGGGGTTAATGTTATTGATAGATTTTGATTGCTGCTGTGTTGCGGAGGTCATTTATTATCGATGATGTGCTCCTTCTTCAATGCGAAGATTCTGAGAAATATGAGTAATGGAAGCCATCAATAACACTGGAGTACTTTGTAGTTTATGTGGAAAAGTTTATTTTTAGTTTATGGACGAGAAGTACAGAAGGATTCCAATTAATAAGCCAGCTATGTTCAACAAGGCAACTGGCAAGGCCAATAAAATAAATTATTATGTATTAGCGTTGTTGAACATTTACATTTTGTTATACATTTCATTATAAGCAAGATGCCAATAATTCTCAAAAAGCTTAGACCATTAAACACGAAATGAGAATTGGGATCTTCTCTTTTGGAAAACATGTTTGGGTACAATTGAAGATAGATGAATAGATGATAACGGTAACGTAGCCCACCCAAGTTACTTAAAATGTATTTTATAAAATAAAGGAGGTGCCAGAGGTTACAGTAAGTAAAGTAACACATACATAAACATAATCTGTACAATTTCTTCATTGGAGTTAAGCGCGGGAAACCGTTCCAGTTTCAAGTAGATTGTTGCAAGAGTTGCAGTGAAGATACTAGTGTGATTTTCTGAAACAGCTGCAGCTGTTACAAGTGCTACGAATAACGCTTACTTGCGCATGCGCAGACGCGCGGCATTTTCCGGTCTTGAAAGGCTCGCCTTCCACAGGCCCACTGCATTCCAAAGCAACTGGACTTTGACTTTCTCTTTCCCCACCCCCCGCGTTGTT